ATTAATTATGCACAAGCCTGTTTTCTACTATGTGAAGCAATCCTTAATATTTATAGTAATTATTTATAGCCATAGACATCACAAAGTGGAAGATGTAGCACAGTTTCTTTTCTCAAAAGCGAGGTTAAGGAATTTGGCCAAGGATATTATCACTGATCTCGTTTGGGTTGTTCATTATGAAGGAGAATTTATCTTCGTTGCTTACTGTGTAAAGCATGTATGACCGCACTGTACTATTTGAAAGAGTTCTTTTCTGTATTCTATATACAGAGGGCAGGTAATTAAAAAGTGCTTTTCATCCCCTATAACTCTCTATATATAACCAACACCATATATAACATATATAACATTTGTTTTGGATAGGTTTACGGAGGTGGTTTTAACGGCCATATTGCGACAGGTCATCAAGGCATGCATTGATATAGATATGCCAGTGGTCAAAGTAAGGAAATAGTTCACAACCTTTGCGCGTGATTGTAATTTATGAAGTCTTCAGGGAGCCAAATTTAGAAGGATTCAGAACCCACTTGCCCACAAAGGCTAACAATAGACCCTCGTTATACATGCTCGCAAGAATGAAATAGATTTTGTAGTGAAATAGGTTTTTAATGGCTAATAAAAAATGGGAAGGTATTAGGTGGTTTGACAATTACAGCAAAAAGCGGATTTCTACAGTCGGACCTCGGTTAACTTAAGTTTCAGAATGAAAATTTATTCCACAATCTTCCGAGTGGCACGTGACACGTGACCTCTGCGCCTTGTACTGGATCCGCTTGTTATTGGCTCTCTTAAAGAAACCATTTTACACATGGCCAGAAATGTGCAGCATTTACGCGATACGCGAGGGCGCAACAGTAGGGCTTCACGTGACTCAACTAACCAATCACAGCACAAGAATGGCATCGCACACAGGCTCTGTGATAAGTGCTCAGCCCATTGTCAAGTAGTGTTACTGTTNGCGTTGCTGTCCTAAGTGGAGCGTTGTTGCATGCTTGAAACAAAGCTGAAGAATGAAACGAAGAACGAAATATCAATGACTGTTACACAACCAAATATCGTTGTTTTTTTCTTTAGAATCTGCTGACATTAATACAAATCATGACGTGATCACGACATAAGATAATATAACAAAACATTATATATAACATGGCATAATATCATGGCATAATACAACATAGCACAGTTCATTTAATAGAGGTCCGTTTTTCTGAAAAAAGTTCTTTTTTGCCTAGAAACCTATATGTGGTTCATCATTGGCATTGAACCTAGATAAAAGTTAAGTTCAGAGCAGATCCTCTACCTACGGGCCTGAGAGCATGATATTACATGACATTACAGTGACATTACAGTGGCGTATTGAGGGGGATAATGCCCCCCCCCCCTTCGATTTCTGAAAAAAATCACGCCAATGGTCCCCTCTTGAAATTAGAATTTTGATTCAAGCTGTAATCGTAGTTCTAAACCGTACCAAATGGAACCGTTCACTCTCTAAAATACCAAAAGTTTTTGGGTCCCGAACCCCACGCCAACCCCACGCTAAACTACATTACATACACGTAGTTCAACATGACAATGCGTGAAACAGGACAGAATTTCAAATAAACGTTACACACTTAAATACTCACATGGTGCAGACTGCGCATCAGACACCAACACCTGTTGAAAAATTAATTGATATATATATATATATATATATATATATATATATATATATATATATATATATATATATATTAATCTGCAAGGAAATGATTACAAGTAGTGATGAAAATTTACAACTTTATTGAAACAAAATGATTATGAACGTTACAGAAATGAAAACACAAATAATTTACGTGAATAAGACAACCTAATGATCGAGTGACAACCGGCGAGTGCGATAGGCGCAAAGTGATCTTATGAGGCAAGCTTAAAGCATATCTTTAATAATAATAATAATAATAATTTAGTCAGTAAAATTGCAACCCAATGGTTATTGTACAATGTTAAAAGAAACTTAAACTAAATTAACTTAGATTTGATACTTTCTCTGTACGTCCTGGGTCAACTTAACATTTTGCTTGATTTGAAACATTATCCAAACGCTGTTCACATCTGTTTACAATCGAATGTTTATTCGGCCAAAGTGTAGGCCTACGTCACTGTCACTGCGACTACCCATGCGCTTTATCAAATTCAGACATTACAATTACTTTTTTTCTTCCTTTTATCGTGTGTGTGTGTGTGTTCAGTTGTTATACATGTACAATTTGAAAGACACTTTTTGTTTACATCTCAAAACACATTCACGTAATAATAGCACTTATTTACAAACTTAATCTAAGTTTGATACTCCCGTATATATTTTGTGCTTTATTCATACTTTCTACACCAGACTGAGAATGTACAGAGTTAAAGTAATAGCAACAATAGTAATGAAAGGCCTATAATAATAATAAAATACATAGATAAATAGCACCAAAATTACATATATAAAAATGTACTATTATTATACATACATGTTCAGTATTTCATAATCATAAGCTAGGTATGGTCTTAATGCCGAGTCAACTGCTCACAACACTGATCATATGCTTGCATCATACTACAAGTATTGTATACATGAGTAAGACATAGATATTAATTATGCACAAGCCTGTTTTCTATTATGTGAAGCAAACCTTCATATTTATAGAAATTATTTATAGCCATAGACATCACAAAGTGGAAGAGTTAGCACAGTTTCTTTTGCCAAAATCGAGGTTAAGGAATTTGGCCAAGGATATTATAACTGACTCGTTTGGGATGTTCATTATGAAGGAGAATTTATCTTCGTTGCTTAAATGTGTAAAGCATGTATGGCCGCTTTGTACTATTTGAAAGAGTTCTTTTCTGTATTCAATATACAGAGGACAGGTAATTAAAAAGTGCTTTTCATCCTCTATAACTCCTGTGTGGCACATTTGGCATTTTCTTTTTTCAAGTGGTGTTGGTTATATATACATTTGTTTCGGATAGATTTACAGAAGTGGTTTTGACGGCCATATTGGAAGAGTTCATCAAGGCATGCATTGACAAAGATATGCCAGTGGTCAAGGTAAGGAAAAAGTTCACAACCTTTGCGCGTGATTGTAATTTATGAAGTCTTCAGGGAGACAAATTAAGACGGATTCAGAACCTGCTTGCCCACAAAATCTAACAATAGAACCTCGTTATACATGTTCGCAAGAATGAAATAGATTTTGAAGTGAAATAGGTTTTTAATGGCTAACAAAAAAGGGGAGTGGGTAGGTGGTTTGGGAATTACAGCAAAAACCGGATTCCTGCAGTCGGACATCGGTTAACTAAAATTTCAGAATGAAATTAAAATTTATGCACAAACTTCCGAGTGGCACGTGACACGTGATCTCTGCGTCTTGTACTGGATCCGCTTGTTATTAGGCTCTCATTTTTACAACATGACTTGTGTGACATATCAAGTTAATAAACGTGGTGTTTTACCTTACCTGATGACCAGCGATGATCAGAAGAATCCCCAGGACTGTTGACCTCCTCATTGTGATTGTGTGTAGCAGACAGGGGGCAGCACGAGCGATGTCCACAACTGAAAAGAAACAAAAAAGTTCATGATAAACCTTGCATCGTTTTGAGCGCAAATTTCAGGTGTGCTTTATACGGACCTGTACCTCCATGTTGCCTCCATGTTTTAACGAGGAGTAAAAAATCCTTAAATTAAAAAGTTTATTGACCGACAAAGGTATTTTTGATGAAGCTGCTTTATAGTCCTTCTTTTAAATTTCACCCCTCGTGTCTATAGGCTTTTAGAGAATTTTTTATTAACAGCAGCTACCTATGCAGAATTAGTGTACGGCCTCTTCTCTCCGTGTGTATTATCTTACCTGATGAAGTTAAGGCTTCGTTCACATGGAAAGTCTATTTTCTAAAAATCTATTTTCTATTCGCGGTATATCTTCTGCTCACGGTCTGTGCCCTGAATATCCCGCGGCGTAATTACTGGCAGCGCGAGTCAGTTACTTCCAAAGCTGTAATTAATTCTCGGCTGTGCGAATAGAAAATAGATTTTTAGAAAATAGACTTTCCATGTGAACGAAGCCTTAAGTGTCCACATTTCTTAGAAATAGACAGACGTGACAACTTACCTCTTATTTTATCGTGGATACCAGTGCCCTGTGGTGTCGTACTGAGTAAAGTCACAAAACACGCCTGAGACCTTCTTATCCGATGTGACGCTGTGTTATATATGACACCTTGAGGAAATAACGAAACTAATGTGATAAGCATTTATTTTAGAGAAGTCTTATCATTTTTATAGTTGAAAAAAAACGTCACTTCATTTAAAACTGTTGATTACACGCGAAGTGTAAATGTATATCATCATCTTCCTAAAAAAGTGTCATTTTGTTTGCGGTTCGGTTGATATGAGATAACGTTAACCGCAGTTGCTGGCGACTTCGTAAGGGCGACGTATGGTAATGGCCAGACGTCCCTTCTGATAATGCTACCTACCAATTTTGTTTTAAAAATAACCACTCAAATACTGAAAAATAATATCCAGACTGCCCTCACTAGGTAACTGAAATTCCTATTATATATGAATATTGCAACTGGAGAACCATTCAAAAAATGACGGCGGAGAGAAGAGGAGGTTTTAAGTGAATAACAGCAAAAAATTAATGTTGTTGTATTCGTTTAATCCCAGCCTTTACAAAACCATTAAAATCAGTTTGGTCGACAGATTACGTCTTAGGACGAAAATAATTCGATTGCCTGTCTAAATACCTTCCATATATGAACGCAACCGTGTAACTATGTATTTTCCATTAACTAGACTTCCACCTCCCCCCCACC